TGATATTATAGACTAATTTACAATAAAGAATAGTAAAAATATTTAAATTAACAAGCAAATTTTTATTTGTTGAGTATCAGTTTTATTACCAAATAAAAAAAACTATTAAATCTGGGTAACTTACTTCAGTATCACATCAAATCTATTGAATCATCTTCTTACTGTTCTGTCTATCATGTTCTTACGGAAAACTGAATTCTATCATGCTCTTACGGAAAACAATTCTATCATGTTCTTACTATCGATGCAGGGTTCTATTATCATGCTCTTACGGGAAATTTAGCTATCGTTCTATCTATCATGTTCTTACGGAAAACTGAAATATCGCTTTCTAAAAATACAGTTATAGGAATCATGAATATCATGGAATTTCTTAACATATTATTGCAGCAAGAACTATTGTGTAATGTTATTTTCTTCCTTCACATGCAGGTAATTTTTCCCCGTTCGCCAATCTGATCACTCCCAACGATTCAAATCCATTTCTACAGTTTTTGTCTATGGGGATAAATAGGGTAAAATTATACATTTTATTATTATATAACGCTTTTATTATTATTATTTATACAGACGCTCGGTACCACAGATTTCGGGTTTGAGTCCCGACCTATGGCATGGATGTTTATAGTGGTTTAGAATCCACTTTAAATCGTAGGTCCTGGTCTAATATGAAGGTTGGACGTAGGGCTGACAATCCTACCCCGTACAAAGAATCATCTATCGTCTAGAAATCTGCCAGCAGGCAGACGCCCTTGGCCCACCATGGGACTGTTGTGCCACTGATGATGATGAACATTATATAAAAAAGGCTTCATCATTATGCAAATGGGCAGTAACTTTATGTACTCATAAACATTTGTCCCGGTTATTTAGTAACTAAAGATATAAAGTTGGTTAAACCCATTTTACACTCTGTTTTGAAGTTTTCTGAAATCATCTTAGAAAATGTTCTTCGAAGCTATGAAGAAATTAATAGAAAATACATATCGAATAATTTAATATGAATAACTGTAGCTAATAAGAACTTTGAATGTTTTATTGTGGAACATACATAATAGTGTAGCAAGTAGTTCTACCTTCCTATTATTTATGTAGTAAATCGTATTATAATCTTTGATTGTTTTAGAAAATTAGCTTTACAACTTCGCAGTATATTTTTTGGTAATAGTCCTAAATTTACTTATCAGTTTATAATTACTGTAATGCATTAGTTTACACTACAATATTATAATTTTTTTCTTAAAATATGAAACACATCTCGTGACAAAGGCGAAAAATTCAGTAATTCTGCAGTTCTATTTCTATCTGCTACCAGTTACTTTTTTTATTGCATTAAAGTTTCGAACTATGATCTCATTTATAAAGGAGGGGTAACTTTATTTTTTGTATTCTGAAATATTTTTAAATATAAAAACATTAAAGCCAAAATAGTTAATCAGTCTGCATTATCTCAGTGATACCAAAAACTGTTCCCCTTTCTGAAAATGTTCAAACAATTTTCTTATGACACCCAGTAATCTGTTATCAAAGAAAATTCACATAAAACTAAATAAAACTAAATTGCAAGTATTTCAATTACTTTTATCTCCTTTTTAGATAAGTTGGATATTATTTTCTGAGATAACAAAAAATGTTCATATCTTTTGAAAAGTTTACAGAAATTTTTTGGATCTAAAAACTTATTTATTACAAAAGGACTCATGTAAATTTGCTATGAAATGAATTGTAAACGTGACGTTAATAGTTATTTCAGCCAATTTACATTTTTTTTTCCGACTACACTGAAGCAATGACAGCATTTTCTCGCGAGTTGAAAAAATTTAAATGAATGAATTATTGAGAAATAAAATGAATTTATAAAGTATCACTCTTAAAAAGAATATTATTTATAATGTTGTTTCGTTTACAAAGAATGTTATTGGACAATGAATGCCTTTTTTTTACAAACTTACTCATTCAGATCTAAATATTGGCTATAGGTACAGGGAAGTCAAAAACTTAGGAATACAATCATTAACACACTTTAGGTAAACTAAGAAAAAAATAAACTATGATGATACAATTATGTACTTAGTTAATATTACGTAAATTTAAGTTTCAATAATAAAGTTCAATAATTCTGTATATGTTACTGAAATGTTCAGCACAATTTATAAATGTTGGTATTCTAGTATCTATGAAATTTTCCTCCTATTTTATGTAAATTTAGTATCTAGTGTGAATTTTTTTTATTATAATTCTTTTATTGAGCGTTAAAACAATTTTATAATATAGAAATCTCTCATGCTAAGATAATATATGTATAGTCAAATATTCAAAATTACTGCACATTTTTGACAGTCAGTAGTTGTATTTTTATCCAATATGAAAATTCTTAAATTTTTCAAAACTTGAGACATTTGTTCTATAGTTTTCCAGAATGATTAAAATAACTAAGAAACAGGCTTTATTGTAAGGAATTTGCTTTTATTGATTTTGTAATAAACTAATATAGAAATGGAAGAAATTCTGAATTGAATTAAATGCATGATGTTATCATGTATCATGCTTATAATGTATAGTTTTTAGGTGACTTGATGTTCCCATTTGCAGATGAATTTCTCAAAATGAATACAAACAAATTCACATATTATTCACTAAAACTTTTAGTTTCGTGTTATTTGGAGAGGAAATAAGATTGGAACTCAAAATGATTGATCTTTTCATTCTTGTTGGATCAATGAGTGATCGATATCTATCATCTTTTGTTTTTTGTAAATTCGGTAAACATTTTTAGGCTGAGTCACGTCCATGTAATTAAGAGTCTAATGCAATAAAAATTTACTGTCTTCCATAGTGACTTCTATATAGACTCTTTTTCAAATGGAAAGTTCTGAAAACTACATGTTTTAAACAAAGGAAAAAAATAATTTAAATAATTCTTCACGGTTGAAAGTGCTTCGTTTTTAAACAGTATTTGGCAAAAAAAAAGTAAGTTGCAAATTTCGCTAATCTGTTATTAATGGTGATTTTTGTGATTGGTAGTATTTATTGTATTGGTAGTACTTATCTTTTCATTCTTGTTGAATCAATGAGTGATCCAGTGAATATCTACAATATTTTGCATTTTGCACTTACTAGTAATCAGATCTTCTTCTTCACTGTCGCAACAGCCCCATACTGGGCCAAGGCCGTCTGCCTACTAGCAGATTTCGAGACAGTAGTTCTCTTTTTTACTGGGTAGGGTTGTCAGTCCTACACTCTAAAGTCATATTAGACTGGGACCTACTGTTTAAAGGGGGATTCCGAACCGCTAGAAACATCCATGACACCGCCATCGAACCCGAAACCTGAGGCACCTATAACCAGCTACTCGGTCATCAGTCCCCGCCACCAGATAGTCAACCTAATTTTATTATTAGACACTAGCTAGTAAATAACCTGTAATTTCTCTCTTATATCATTGTTTTATAGTATCTAATAAACGACAGTAATTTCTTACTTCATACTTTTGTTGTTGTTGTTTCTTATCTCACTTGTTAGATATCTAGATCAAGCCTATTAACCCTTATGGACTCATGATTGAAGGGAAAAGGGGGCAGCTTCTGTTGTGATGGAGCACCAGTAGTTTTAAGTCTTACTTGGTTCCGTGACACTTTACAGTCATATGAGACCGGGACCTACTGCTCAAAGTGGATTCCGAACCACTACAAATATCCATGGCACCGCTGGGATTCGAATCCGAAATTTGTGGTAACGAGCGCCAGAGCGCTAGCCACTCGTTCCCCACTTCATACTTTTTGAAAAACCTATATATATAAGTTAAAATTGCAGTTGTAATATTATTATGTAATATGAATAGATTTAAGCTCTGTAGTTGTGCATGTAAAAATTATATCAAGTTATGAAAATGCATGTTATACCAAATTAGCAGATATTTCGAATTTAAAAAGAAGTGCATCAGAATCGTCGAAAATTCCATTTTTATCGTCATTTTAAAGAACTTTCTTTAAATAACACCATCTCAATTAGTGCACAGCGTTATATTTGAGGTGATAGAGTAGCGGACAGGTTAGTCACTTTTAATCTGATAATATTTTGTTGCTCCTATTGTATTTAAATAACTTTCCCTTCAGGTTATTCATGCATTAATGCATGAAGGAGAACAAAAATCAAACAAAAGATTCACTTCAAACGTTACATTTGAGCCGAAAAAGAAAATAGTTTCGTCCTATAATTACATGTTCTTAACCTTAATAACCATGGTGTCTCATTACTGGTCAAAACAAAGACCTTGAAGTTCTGTTAAGGAAAAGAAAAAAAAACTTTTTTTTTTTTTTTTTTTTAAGAGTGAGATTTGTGGTATTTAAAGGAAAGCCGGCTGATTTCGGCACCTAACCTCAATAATTACTCTGTTTATTTCCCTTCTTTTTATTTGTATTTTTCGCTTTGAAACCGCTATGCTTTAAGGTCTTCCTTCACTAGATCCGGTCTGTTTAGCGTGTCATCTTTCGGTCTGACTTTTTAAATCTATTCTGAATTAGGGCTAAAAGAATCTGTGATTAACCATTGTGACACTTTTTCTCTAAAGTTAAATAATACAACACGGTTGCTTTGTTTTTCAAATATTCCTAGGTATTTTTGAAATATAATTTGTCAATAATTTTTATTAGTTTATGTATATTAATTTCAGAGAAAATAATCGAGAGATTTTGAAATGGTACAAGGGCTTTCAAAAATTATTATTTATTATTGTTAAAAATTTATTTTATCTCAAGATTTATTTTTGTTTAATATGTAAAGAATAATATGTTTGTATCTTAACTTCATGCTTGATTTAAACTTTTGTTTTTTGCAAAAAATAATAAAATGCAAAATAATAATAATAAATTAATTAATAATGTAAGAAAAAAAGCTTTTTAATCGAAGAAAAAAAAGAGAGAATCGATCCCTATTTTTTATCTGTAATGAGCAATATTGCAACATCAAAGCGTTTCTTTTTCATTAGTTTGATTAAGTGAGGCCTGATAGCCTAGTGGCTAGGGCTCTGTACCACAGGTTTTGGATTCGAGTCCCGGCGGTGCCCTGGATGTTTGTAGTGGTTCGAATCCACTTTAAACCGTAGGTCCCGGTCTAATAAGATCGTAGAGTGTTGTGGTGGTAGTGTTACTCGCTTCCGTAGCATATCTTCAAACTACGCATGCCGCCTGGGTAGTGCTAAATGAGTAACAACGGTGCAGCCCTTGCTTATGGCATAAAGATTAACTTTCTCTGTAGTGCCAGCTGCATTAGAACAACAACAGTTTGATTAAGTGATAATTTAATCGTAAACAGTGACGAAATACCATGCGTCATCTTTTGTTTTAAAAACAGCTAAACCGTAAAAATTTCCTTTTTTGTAATCCGAAGACAACTTAAAAAGAAGAATACTTGCAAATTAATTAATTAATTACTCACAAAATGAATGTTTTTTGATTAGGAATAGATTTTCAATAACTTTTAAAACACCTTAAACAATGTCGACAACTAAAGTTTTTAATTAATTACAAAACTAAAAATTTCTTCTAAATGGGCTGTGTGGATTATATAGTCACCATTGGAATAGCATGAGAAAAAATAAAGGCAAAAATATGTACAGAACTTTTCCTTACACTGAGGGAGATCCATTTATAAGGCTTTGTCCATTTACAAGGTTACGACCGGATATTAAAATCTCAAGATGTAGAATGCCTAATATCCTACGCGCACGTTTATTTGTCGCTTTTAATATAAACATCGGATTATCTCTAGACTAGACTAGACGTCTTAAGAACACCGAAAATATGACTTAGGCCAATAGCAAATCAGGATTTTATTTCCTTATTTCGATAGACAATACTTTGTCTTTGGTGTAAACCACATTGGCGAAAAGACGGGTTCTTTCCTTTCTTCTTTCCAGTCTTCTGTTCTCATTGGAGATACGACTGCACTGGACCTGAATACAGATAATAAGCCAACTTTCTCATAATTTTAAAGCAAAACTATTAGAAATTAAATATAATTTCTTGAAAATCCTGTATAAGTTTTAAATAAACGACTTTGAAAACACCTGAAAATATTGACGCATAATTAAAACTTTTCACTTAAATAATTTTTTTTTCTAATGCAAATATTTAGACAGCTGTCTTTGATGCCTTAAAGCAAGCGCTGCACCGACGTTACTCACTTACCCAGGAGATGCGTGTAGCTTGAAGATAAGCTACGGACGCGGAGTAGCAATACTCCCACAACGTTCTATCATGTTAGACAGGAACCTACAGTTTAATGTGGATTCCGAACCACTGCAAATATCCATGGCATCGCCGGGACTCGAAACCTATGATACCGGGCGCCAGAGCGCTAGCCACTCGTCCATAAGGCCCCTTTCACTTAAATATATCATAGATAATATTATATCATTTCACTTAGATATATTATAAATAATAATTTATTTCACATTACTTAAATGCACTATATGTAATGATATATCTCATAGGAAATTATATCAAAGCAATTTAAAGTGGCTTCATTTTATCATTGAAGACTGATTTATATTTGTCAACAGAGGAATAAAATACTTAGTAAGATAAAACTTTTGAGTCCTCTGGCGTATCATGTCTATATAAATTCATACAGAAATGAAATCTTTCAATATGTGGATATTTTGCTTGTCGGCCATTGGCGACCTGGTGGCCAATTGGATAGCGCGCAGGCCTTTGGTACCACAGTCTTCAGGTTCGAGTCCATAGCGGTGCATGCTTGTTAGTGGTTTGAAATCCACGTTAAACTGTAGTTCCCGGTCTAATTAGCCTAAAGGGTACGCCAAAATGACCTTAGAGTGACAAATCAAATCTCAGCAATTGTTTGCACTGCTCTACACCTTCGGCTGTATCCTATACATATTTATATAAAATCTCGATGTACGACAAAATATGTATATAAGTGGATTTTTCTTTCTTTTAAAAAAATAGATTTCGTTCTTTTATCTATACCGAAAGTGCGAATATATTTTCTAATTAAAATGTGTTTATTGTTATCTAGAACCCAGACAATTTAACTTAAAAATATTTAATTTGAAATAATTGCATCGATAATTAAGGCATAAATCAAAGATGAACTTTTTCTCCTCATAAGCCAAATATTGTTACCTTATTTTTCTTTATATTTCATATCCTGTTGTAATCTGAAAGCCGAAACTTTTCTTTAAAACGTATTGTGTAAGATTACAACTGGTTTTTTTTTTCCCATCCCAAACATCTGTCACTTTCCTTTTTTTTTCTTAACTTAGTTTTGCAGAATTGATCATTTTTATCTACATTTAAGGTTGGATAATGTGAGATTTCAGATTTTTTGAGAGTGATTACATAAAATTTATCACTAATGAATAAATCATGATGTATATAAAATATATTATAGTAAATATAGAATATGTCCTCATTTATGTATAATTAACCCTTTAAATGTTGTTCTTGACAGCCACTAGGATGATAGATTTAGCTGCCAGCACTTTTAGTTATTTCATTCATTCAATATTAATAAACTTCATTCATTTTATTTATTTCAGTCATTCAGTATTAATAAACGTCCTCCATTCATTAATAAACGTCATTCATTTTATTTATTTCGTGCATTCAGTATTAATAAACTTCATTCATTTTATTTATTTCAGTCATTCATTATTAATAAACATCATTCATTCAGTAATAAATGTCATTCATTTTATTTATTTCATTCATTCAATATTAATAAACGTCATTCATTCAGTAATAAACGGCATTCATTTTATTTATTTCATTCATTAGTATTAATAAAGGTAAAAAACTTTTTCCTTCACTGAGAGAGATCCATTTATAAGGTTCTGACTGGATACTAAAGTCTGCTTTGCTTTTGCTTATTAATTAAGAACTAATCAAGAACTATTAATTTTAAAATAAAAACGTATTCAATGAAGTGTAGATTATTTTTTTGAATTCTTAAATATTGTTTAAAGAGATGTATATTACCCTGAAAAGTAAAATTTTTAAAAAATTTGCAATTTTATAAGAAATCTTGAAGAGACAGGCATGTTATGCAATGCTTAGTATGAGAAAAATCTCAATAAAAAAAAACTTAAGACTGTTCTGTCAAATAAAAACTGCCACTTAAAAATGAAAGTCGAAGATTAAAAAAAAATGTTAAGGAATAATTGCGCAATAGGAAAGCAAAATTAAACAGCATGTTCCTTATCTACTACAAAGAAAGTAATCCGTTAAAATTTGATGTTAGGTTCAAAATGACACTCAGACAATCAAAACAATTTAATCCTTCCTTTGATCTAGAGACGAAAAAAACAAAAACAAAAACAAAAATCTACACTTCAACATCAGCTACTCAAATTCAGTCAGGCATATTCTCAGGGAAATGGCTTTATAACTCAAAAGTGAACTGCTATTACAAACTTGATAAAAGTGTAGATAAACTAACATTTCTTAAAATTATAACAGAACATTGAGGGAAAAAACAACGTATGCTAACAAAATTTATGATAACAATTAATATCATTCCTCGAACTATAATAATGTATGCAATTTTAATAAATAAAAAAAAAATTGTTAAGAATTATTGATTTTAATAAACGATATTAAAATATTTGCCTGTGCATAATTTCAGTGGGAAACTTTAAATGCAATGGCATTTATAACAAATAAATTTTATGTACAAAATTAATCGCTGACAATTCAATGAACATAATAAACGATAATAATGAACATTACAACTTTTTCCTTACCTTTTTTGATAGTGAAAATTCTATTTATTTCTTTTAACGATCAATAAATTTAAAATTCTGAAAAATGTAAGAAAAGAGTAAATACATCCATAAATTTTATTAAAAAACGGAACTAACAACAAGCACTTCTTTAAAGCAAGTTGAACCTAAAAGAATAGAATAATTAAATAACAATATAAATAATTAAATAAAATTGACTAAAATTTTACTTGAAATCCAATGGATTCAAAATTCACTTGTAATAGCAGTAGATTTACAGAAAGTAATTTATTCAAAAACTGATCAAAGAATTCTTTATCGTGAAAATCACATACCATGGATGGCTAAGACAAGCCATCAGCAGCAGCAGCCCCATGGTGGGGAAAGGCCGTCTGTCTAGCAGATTTCGAGATATGAGATGTGGTCTTTTTTATGGGGTAGGGTTGTCAGCCCTACGCCCAAAGCTCTACACTCATATTAGAACGGGACCTAGGGTTTAAAGTGGGTTCGAACCACTACAAACATCCCCGGAGCACTAGGACTCGAACCCGAAACCTGTGGCACCGGGCGCTAGTCACTCGGTCATCAGGACCCGAAACAAAACCACACATACTGAAATAAAACTAACAGAAACAAAAAAAAAAAAAATTATGAATAAAATAAATATTTGAATTTTGGTCTACAATTTTTTTTTTTTTTCAGGTGAGAATTAATATTCTTTAATTTAATTTCTTAATTTTTTTTTATGAATTAGAACCAATTTAATTTAAGTAAAACTCATCACAGAATTGAAAGAGAAGAACATTCACGCAACAACAACATACTTGAGAGTCCTATTGAAATGCTACAAAGAGTACATCTGAACATTTTATATAGAGATATTTACATTTGTTGATGGTTCAAAGGATCAAATGGTACAAATGAATATTCTCAAAGAAAATTTTTCGCAATGTTCAGATAACTTGGAGAGTGATTTTTCTCAGCAAGACATGAAGCAGATTGTTAATATTTACCCGTCCAAAATAAAGATACTCAGATACTCGCTGGATGCGTGAAATATATTTTCTTCCCAGGTGAGAGTCTGTAGGCCAACTATTAAGAAGGGTTGCATTGAATATATTTCCTCTCGGGATGAGAGATTTCAAACTAAACTTTTTCTCAGCAGAAGAGCGGGTTGCGCTGTACTTCCTCTCAGGTGAGAGTCTCGAGGCGTACTGACCATTTCTCTTGAACGCCACACGGAAAGAACTCACTCTTGAACACTCTTGAAGTGTGTAGGAGGAAGGACTGCTACAAAACTAAAAAAAAAAAAAACTGCCTTTATTAGATATCTTTTAAAAAATGAAACATTCTCGCTA